AAAAAAAAAAACATGAATTATTGTTATTGAAACCGGTCTAAAACTAACAATCAAACAGTTTAAATATGCCATTTATTTCTGACCTATTTTCGTAAAATTAAAAATTTTTTTTTTTTCATTTTACCCGAGAATGAACACCAGATAACCGGAAGGAATTCTTGTTATAAATATACTTGCATCTTATTCAGAAAAACAAAGGGTTTTTTTGAAAACTAAAATTCTTGAATTGGCAACTGTCAACTCTTTACCCAAGAGTTAAATTTTTGTATTAAAAATGCTGACCATTTTGAAAAAAAGTCGAGGGTGAAATAAAAAAAAATATTTTTCTGTTACCAGTACGTCCTTTATTTTCTACTTTCATCGAGTCAGGCACAACATCATAATCCTTGAATCTCACTGATACTGAATGGTTATCATCTCGTTCTATTTTATCAAGGTTAATTGGTGATTGTTGTAAGCCGCCACAATTTGGATATTTATTAGCCCACGAATTTTCATAATTAGCTATTTCCAAAAAATTCATCAAACAAATTAATATTTGAATTCAATACTAATATTAACTACGAGATAAACAAATGATCTAAGCTTTATACCTGCTATCGATTGGATTAGATGTATTAGAAAGAAAATATAACTGTTAGATAAATTCATGTTGCTTCTTTGATACACAAAAATCAAACGGTTGTATTTGTTACAGACTCAATATCAAAGCTTTGTTCGTTTATGAATTGGAAAATACTGCATATAATGATTTGAACTTGAGTTTATATATGATTATCAGGAGCAAAATTGAGGTTATTACTAGAATAATGATATTGATATATATTGAAAGGATACACAAAAAATATTCTCAAATATTTGACTGGATCAAAAGAGTAAATAAAAAACAAATTCCATTAAATATAGTAATAATGCTTAATTGTATAAAAATAATAAATAAGTCCAATATTAGCTATAGTGGCTTGCAAATCGCTTATTAACTGATAAGTAACTATAGTTGAACAATCATGCTGATAAATGATTACCATAAATATTATCTTTTTGTTAAGTCATATGTTACGGGAAATACATCGAGTGTAACATCTGAACAAACATTTTATTTAGCAGATGAAATTTATTGTAAAAATTTTCACATTCATTTTTAATTTCTTCAATTCTCAGTATTGCATAATTGAGATCATGCAAAATTAAACGTTACATAATAACAGTTTATGTCTAATTTATGAAATATTAAATTGTAATTATTAAGCTATCAGGTCAAGTTTAAAGAAAACAATAAGTAAAATATAACTTTATTTATTTTTACGCGTAATTTTTTTCGTGGCATAATATATTTTAACTTGAAATGTATTACAATTAATCAATTAATCAAACACGTAAGAAATAAATAATTTTTAAAGTAAATTGTAATGTTTCGCAGGTTTAAAAAACAAAAATCGTTTTTTCTGTGATGTTGCTTAAGTGTGATTAAGAAGTTCATAGTTCTAACCCTTTCAATTAAAATTATACTATTTAAATCTATCGAGTGAAAAATTCGAGTGAAAAATATTCGAGTGAAAAATAAACCTTGCATTTATAAATAAAAAAAAAAAATACTTGATTCAAGAAAAATATTTTCTTAAAATTTCTTCCTTGTTTCGAGATATTTTGTTCTTCTAATTCAAGGAATTCACTTTAAGTCGAGAAAATATAATTCTTGGATACAGAGAAAGAGTTTTTCTTTATCGAAGATGTAGAATTTTTCCAGCTAATAAAACTAGTTTTAACCACAAGAAATTTTCGAATCAAGTAAATTCTAAAAAAAACATTAAAGTAGACTCTAAAAAAGGCATTAATGGATATTTGTTCAAAAATTTTATTTGCCCTTTTACGAAGTGGAAAAAGAAGAACTGTTCAAATGAAAATTAATAAAGAACTCCTTATTGAGCTGAATAGTAAACTCAAATAGGAAAATTGAGCGGATGCACAAGAGCTGAAGAATAAGAATAATAAGAGAGAAAGTTGAGAAAAACGATGAAACTCATCGACGGGAAGTGCAAGTAGGCAAGCCCAGTGTATTCATACCTAAAAGAAGAGTCCTTTCGGTATAGGCAGGACTAAACGTTTATGAGGTACTTGGAGTAAGTTTTTCTCGTGTAACGCTGCATGAATAAATGATAGCAGTGGGCTATCTCGGGGAGTAAAAGGGGACATAATAAAGGGAGACACTCGATGAGCAGGGAAAAATGGTGGGTATAGTATCGAAAGGGCAACCTCCAACTCCGCGGTATACGGTATAAATTTCATAAGGTTGCCTGTCCCGACCTAAATCCCCCGGGTGTACCGCGAGCCACTGTGCCAACCATATAAGGGTTATATTTGATAGATACTGCCCCGGGTTAAGTGCTCATCTTACTTCTCAAGCTCCTTTATTCTTAACACACTCTCAACTTCTTATACCGCTACGCTATCATTGCATGCTTTCCTGTTTGTACAAATGTTTAACAAGATTTTTTATCTAAAATCATCGGCATTTTATCGCCCTTATCTGATCCAATTTTCATTTCCTAAATTGTGAATTTTTATAATTTAGAGCTGATTAGATTTCAAAATTGATCAATACACTCGTCGAAAGTTATTTTTTTAAAACTTCATTTTCAGAAATGACGGTAAAATCAATAACTTTTAAATTCTGAAAATTATTAATTTTTAGATCGGGAAATTGAAATATATAAGATGATTCAGGCCGGGTATTGAACCCCTGATCTCTCAGTAACAATTTCATTTGTTTTCATGGATATTAAATCTCATCGAATTTGAATGAACGTCAGCATAATTATTTTTTTTTTTTTTTTGAGGAAATTTGAATATAATCTAAATTGGTCAATTACGTTAAAAAATAACAATAATTAAAAATTTCAAAAAATGCAAAAATTAATTCTTTACTGTTTCTCTTTGAAACCATTTTTGAATGTAATAACTTAGCAAGTTTCGAAGCTGTACCTGAAACCTTATTAAATAATCTTCAACTGTCATATCTATATATTTTTATTAAGCTTGCAATTATACCTATCTATCTAATTATGAAATATTTTTATTACATTCATTTAACGATTATGTAAGTTCGTGCACTGATAAAACAATTAATTTGACTCAAGAGAAAAATTCTTGAATCAAGAAAATAATTTTAAATAGTATCATCATCTTGATTTAAATGAAAGAATTATTAAACTGAGAAATTTTTCTTGATTCAATTAAATTTCACTTAACTGAAGAATTTTTTTCATAAATCTAGTTTTTTTTCCATTTCGATCACTAAATGGTCTTTTTATTTTCACGTACTATTTTTCTCTGTTTATGATAAACAATACGGACGATAGCTATTCCAATTCTTAAAATTTTTATGACATCAATTGAATTTTTCTGATGTCCTTAATATTTAAAATTTGAACAAAAACCAAATCTAGAAAAAAAAAATATTGCGCTAATTTAAAAATAATTTGAAAAATCTAAAAATTCAAATTTATTACGGATTTAATTTTATTCAAATAAAAAAAACGGGTATAAACGATTTAAATTTATATACAAGAATAATATGAAAAAAAAAAATGATGGAAAAAGTTTTTAGCTGTAAGTACATATTTGTATCTGAATCCGCAGAGTAATTTTATAAATAATTCCACGATACTCAGGTAAGATTAAGAGCAGTGAAACTTACTTCTTTCTTCATTTATTTTATTATTCATTATTATTCATTTCTATTTTTTACAAATGCACGAACATGCAGAAGGTGTCGGTAGACAGTTAAGAGTTCTCTACCCTTGGTTATAAATGAAAAAAAAAAAAAAGAACTACTACTACCACGTGCTGAGACGATACGTACTGCGTAAACAATTCGAGTTGGCATTTTAACGTTTTACCCCCTAGTGGCTCGTATATAGTATAAAAAGAATTTACTCGTCGATTCGACGATGTATAATTCCCAAAGGTTTTCGTTTTCTAATTTTCTCAAAGCCTTTATCAATCTTTAAACTCTATCGGAAATAATTTTAACGCCCATTACTTTTTATCTTTTACTACCTCGTTAAATTGAACAGAAGAAAAAAATTAATAATAAATATAACATAGATACTCATTATCATTATCCTGATTACTATCAAATATCCATCACTTAATTAATAACTCAAGCAAAGAACTTTAAACTGCGCTCTTATTAATACATCAAAAAAATTGTCTTAAAACTTCACTGAGTCAAAAATTGTAAAAAAATTTTTTAATTTGAGTATCAAATTGTTACTTTGTATCAATTTAGTCTGTACAGAAATGAAAAAGACAGTTAAAAAAATTAATATAAAATTTTTACCGGGACCTATTACAATCAAGATAAATTTCTACTTGTCAAAATTATTAATTTTCAAAAGAGAAAGTTAAAAAAAATTTTTTTTTATTTTTGCTGTTTATACTACTTACATATGACAGATTTATTACATGAAATAAAATTAATTTTACAACTTGTATGAGTAAAATTTTTGTTTTTTTTTTTTATCAATATAAAACATCTATCTGTTCGAATATAATTCCAGTTCTTTAAGTGGGTTAAACATGCTCGAACTTTTCTCATTAAATGCATGTGCAGAGCTTCATGTTCGAGGTAGTAGGTAGTATGAAATAAGGAAATATATGGGGTATTCCATGCCAAATCGACCACTTTTGACCCCGACCCTTTTCGATTTGGCCGAAAGTTTTCCATCCTTTTCTACCCTATAAAAAACGGTTCTCAGAATTTTTTTGAATTTTTTTACCTAACTCCAAAAAAGTTATGAATTTTTCAAAAAAATGGCTTTTTTATTTTCAAATAGCCATAACTTTTTCAAAACTAAACATTTAGGTACCTTTTTTTTTCAAAATTTTTGTTTTTAGATGTACTTTCCGATAAAAAATATTAAAAAATTTTTGTAAGTCAATACATAAGGAATTTTTCAGTTTTTTGACAAAAATCAATGCTTTTTCGAAGTTCGAAATTTTTTTTTTTAATTTTTTTTTT